TTATGACCCTGGAACCAAACCAGTGACAAATATTGGAATTCTAGGGAGTTCATACCATGTTGATATTTTCATGGGAACCCTAGTTTAAGTGAATGCACAAAATGGTCTCTTAGAGGGCAGTTGGACTATGCTTTCAACTTCCAAGAGAAAAGGGGATAGAATTAGCAGAGCAGCAGTTATAACGAAAGTAAGTGAAAGAAAAGAAGAATGTGAGAAACAAAATCGAGACATTTTAAAAATACTTTAAGGACTATATTTCCTTTATTTCTACTTGTTGAATAAATCACAACACATAAACTTTTGTTCCTCTTTCAGGTATCATTTCAAGGATCAGGAAGGTCTATCTGGATCAGAGAGCATTCCCAAACCCCTTTCACTACAATTGGCGTCATCTGTGGGAAAACTCAAGCGCATTCATGGCAGACGTAACAGATGATCATTCACCTGTTGCTAACAATGGTACACCTAGAGATGATGTTACACCAAGAACTATACCTGGTCCAGAGAATATCTCCACACGAATGGCCCAGAACTTCAACCTAGTGGCTTAAACCTCCCATTCAACCTCAATGCAGGAAACCATGCAAACAATCATGGATCAAGCAAAACGGAACGAACAGCGTCTGGAAGATATGGCGGCTGACAATGAACATTTACGTAAGGGGTTGGCCCTTGAGTTAGCCAAATCCTAACAAATCGCACCATGTCATGACGGGGTCGGTCGCAATAGAAGAAGAAGGATGATCAATGGCGTCGGCATCGGAAACATGATAGTAGCAGTGCTTCCGACTCGTCATCTCAGGAACCCAGGAAGAAGGGGCAAGTTGACATGTCCAGCTCATTCGAGGGAAGTATGTATGTTCGGCATAGGCGAGGAAAATGAGACGATGGTTCGGATGAAGAGGATAAACACGATCCTTTCGTATGACGCATTGCAAGGGCTACATTGCCTAAAAAATTTAAAGCATCAAAGTTCACCTTGTATGATAGTAAATCTGACCCTATGGATTACATTCGTCATTACAAACAAGCAATGACATTGCATGCTGATGATGAAGCACTCATGTGCCGAATGTTTCCGAGCAGTTTGGGACCATTGGCCGTCAGATGGTATTATAAATTGGAGCTGGCCTCAATAAAAAGTTTTCACTGGCTCCAAAAATTCTTCAGGACAAGATTTATCACCAACAAGGTCCAGCCTAAGCAAGCTGACTCTCTCTGGGCAATGCAAATTAAACCAGAAGAGACCATCCGTGAATATTCGGCGTGCTACTAGGAATGTTTCAACTTGGTGGACGACGCATGTAACGACTCTATGTCCATCACCGCCTTTAAAATGAGATTACACCCTGACAGTCCTCTCAGAAGCTCGTTGACTAGATGGCCTCCCAAAACAGTGTGGGCATTAATGAAGAAGGTTAAGGAGTATTTATATAGCGTTTTTGTTACATTCTATTTAATTTTTACTATTAAATATATTATATGAGACCTAAATAAAACATAAATTTGTAAAATTAATTACAAATTCTTTTTTTTAATATCAAAAAAAAAAAAAAACTATAGAACGAACACTCTTTTCTTCATCAATATTAGATTTATGAGGTCGTTAATGAATCTTTTAGGTGAAATTTCACTTGTTCATTAGGTGTGGTTTACTTCTTAGCATTTGAAAATAAACACATAACCCATTATGATTTGCGGATTAAAATGCACTATCTATACCGTTAACGGCTTAAGTGGAAATACTCTTATGAGGCAAGTGTTTCACACTTACTACTAATTTGAAAGGAATGTCACATGGTGCCCTTTTAGTTTACAAACCACAAGAAATGATGTATTTATTTCTAAATAAAATGAAGCAAACAACACATAAAATAGTAAAATAGAATTTGTCTTTTTTCTATAATTAAAAATAATAATAATAATTATGTTAATATAAGAAAATGATTCTATTTGATTCGTTGGATGGTCTTGGTTTTTTTTTTAAAAAAAAACATAAAGAAGTTTTTTTGGCGTATTGGAAATTTTGAAAATTTTGAGGCCTTTGAGAATTTTCCCAAAATTTTGGGGCCTTTTCACAATTTTAAGTCCTAAACACATGCTTTACCTGCCTTGTGAATGGAAACAACAAATTCCGTTCAAAAAATAATGGAAGCAACAAATACAACTAAAGTAATGGAAAATTTTAAATATCCAAACCATCCTTGCAACATTAAGGTAGACAAGAACCATCTCTTGATTAAATTTTTAAAATCATTTTTATGGTACTTACGTGGTGATTTATGGATACTACACAAATCATTCTCATTCATTACATACTAATAAAGACAAAAAAATCAATCCTTGATTTGCTAATGAGTAGAATCAAATGGAGAAAAAAAAAACCGAGATGATTTCCACGTTCATTCCTATCTCTAGAACTAATTCTACTTACCAAACAACATAATTCATTTTTTATTTCTATTTCAAACTCGAATTGTTAAATTAATATTTTCTTCACATATTTTGTTGTGGTAATGATAAATAACACCGTAGGATCATTACATTGCCCATCATTTCTGATTTGTTCTCTCACTCACATTTTTTATTAGTTCTCACTAAGCTCATCATTTTACTCTAAAATTTCAATTAAATCAATTCTGATAAAGTTCATTTCCCTCTTGCGTTTATGTCAAGTACAAAGTAGGAAATGCAGTTTCCTGAGAAAATTCAATGAACATGCAGGGATGGGATTTTAGCTTGAAAGTTTTGAATATTTAACATAAAGTTCCCACTAATTGAGGCATAAAGTAGAGGTGTTCATCAACCCGCTGGCCCACCCACCCTGTCTAGTCGAGCACAATATTTTTAGTGTTTGGAAAATTTGTTTTCTTCATAGGACTGAACTATACTGAGATTTTATACCCATTTAATATGTACACTGAACTTGAGATAAAAAGTTCTAACCCAACTCAACCTGCCGCCCATTTATAAAATATTATTTGTAATTTTATACTAGTTTAATTATAAAATAAAATAAAAGAATATAAAAGACAAGAATATATATATACTTCTTTCTAGAGCTTAAATTAATACATTCATTAAAAATTATATTTATTTTACCATTGAATTTTGTTAACATTCTAAATTTAAATAATAAGTAAAAGAATCTAAATAATTTAATATCAATTCAAGATGAAAATAATTTTTTTTAAAAAAATAATAGTTTGTATTTATAGGGTTAAGTGGGCGCGCTTGAAATTTAAATTTAAAGGCCGAGCTTGGAATGACTAGATTAAGTTCGATGTTAGGCCAGGCCAGGCCGGGCCGGATTTGGAATAACACATATTTTTTACTATACAATGCTGGCCTGGTCCGACCCGAGATTTGTCCACTCCTAGCATAAAGGCCCTGGTAAGAACAAACCCTGAACAAAACAGCTCCATTTCCACTATTTCCAGAGGATCCATCTATTTGTTTGGAAAAAAGGTAAGGCCATGCAAATATAAATTTTCTTACAAAATTTTTATACAGGATTTGTGAATTTTCTTTTCTAAGTCAAAACACTCATTATGACAATTTATAATTATAAAAAATACAACTACCATATCATTTTGCCGTAAATTGCATCCATTTTGAATTAAAAATGTTATTAGTTATTCGAATTTGATGGGTAAATTGAACGAAATAAAAGAATTAAAAAGATTGCTTATTTCTTTCTTAGGTAAGTGAAAAAAATGAACTGCAGAGCAGTACAACTGATATCATGGAAATTAATGGGATGCAAACTACAATTAACAATTGTAGTTGTAAACCACAAAGTCTCTCCTAATTTATCCACGATGGCATAACATGTTACGTGTTAATTTTTATTTGTTACAAACTTAACTAGTAAAGTCCAACTCTCTTAACTAGTAAAATCCAACTCTCTTATTGTGTCATTGTGGGTTTTAAATTGTGAATCTCTAACATTCTTCTTAACCAGTAAACTCATACCTATCAAATCCATGGTTTGCAGAACTGTAGGTTTAAGTTCTCAACATTTAATAGTGAAAAGTCTATCGAAGTTAGAAAGCAAATCTATGCCTAGAAATCAGATAGAAACATAATTTACAGGTAGCACTTATCTGAGAGTTGATTGCTCAAAATCTTTGATTCATTTCATCTAATGTTTTAAAACATAAACAATTTAAGAAATCAAGGAATGACTGTTTTAAAATTAATCCACCAAAATGATGGAACAAATCAATAAACTTTGTACTCTCAACCATTTTTTACTCTCGTATGAGTCACGTACTAGTATAAAACATCAGATTTTGTAGAGAAGGTCTTCGAGGGATTGTAGGAGGGAGAGAAATATAGAGACGGAGGGAGGGAGAGGATTGTGGTGATGGTGAACAGAAAGGGTGAAAGGGAAGGTTTTGCAGAGAGAGGAGAACATCGTGGAGTTATGGAATATCACAGAAATGCAGGGAGACTTGTAAATTATTCAAAAGTTTAGATTATTTTGAAGAGATCTAATGGCTATCAATTGGGGTGTACGAGCACCTTCAATCATTCATTTTTTCTTTCATTAAATTTAAATTTAATAAAAAAAGTACTCAAAAATTATCTAATCTTTTCATTTAATGTTCATCATCATTTTTTTTTTTCAATCAAATTGAGAACTATCCAATCTTTCATCAAATTTAAATTTAATAAAAATTTAAAAAGATAAAGCTTTGGAGATAAAATAAATAAATAAATAAAAATAAAAATGATAAAAAAAATCATCAAATTTGGTAAAAAAGAAAATTTGGAATAAGATGGGAACTTTGAAAAAGACTTTCATCGTATCAAATTAAATATTTTATTTAAATTTAAAATCAAATTAAATGAGAAAATTAGTGAAAGATTAGACATGGTGTTAGAGAGTGCACACACTAACCAACTATTTTAATTCATCTGTAGCTAATGAGTCATTTTCCAAAGTCTTCCCCCGCTTTCCAAGTCTTCCCTCATTTGTCTTTGCACAATTGTTATGAAACATTTACTCTGATATACATCTCAACTTGGGTCATTTAGTTCTTGGCAAAACACTATTTGCAATTTTGAGAGCTTTCCTTGAATTGAATCCAGATATCAAGTCAACATGGCATCGTTTCTACCATTTGTGCTTCAGAATCTCAACTCCTTGATCCAAAAGGAGGTGGGCTTGCTTTGGGGTGTTGACTGGTCAGTAGGTAATGAGTCATTTTCCAAAGTCTTCCCCCACTTTCCAAGTCTTCCCTCATTTGTCTTTGCACAATTGTTATGAAACCTTTATTCTGATATACATCTCAACTTGGGTCATTTAGTTCTTGGCAAAACACTATTTGCAATTTTGAGAGCTTTCCTTGAATTGAATCCAGATATCAAGGCAACATGGCATCGTTTCTACCATTTGTGCTTCAGAATCTCAACTCCTTGATCCAAAAGGAGGTGGGCTTGCTTTGGGGTGTTGACAAGGAGATGAAAAAGCTTTCAAGCACTCTCACCACCATCCAGGCTGTCCTGGAAGATGCAGAACAAAAACAATTCCAAGACAAAGCAATACAAAATTGGTTGAGAAAACTCAATGATGCAGCCCATGAAGTAGAAGACATCTTGGATGACTGCAAAACCGAAGCCCTCCAATACGAATCAAAAAGGCGGAGTTCTAGTTCTCTAAAGAAGGTAATAAGCACTTCCTTATTGACTTATCCCGTTGAGAACATTCTGTTCCGTCACAAGATAGGGAATAGGATGAAAGATACCATAGAGAACTTAAATGCAATTGCTGAAGAGCGGATGAAGTTTCATTTACGTGAGGTGGTTGTGGAGAAGCGAGTTGAATTGGCTGACAGACGTGAAACCGGCTCTGCTCTAACTCAACCACAACTGTATGGAAGAGAAGAAGATAAAGAAAAAATTGTCAAAATGTTGGTTGAGAATATAAGTGATTGCCAGGATGTTTCTGTCTACCCTATAATTGGCATGGGGGGCCTAGGAAAGACCACGCTTGCCCAAATGGTCTTCAACGATGAGAGGGTAGAGTGCCACTTTGAGCCTAAAATTTGGGTTTATGTTTCTCAGGATTTTCATGTGAAAAGGGTGATAGAAGCAATAATCAAATCCGTAACTGGGAAAATCTGTGAAGCCTCAAACCTAGATTATTTGCAGAAAAAGCTTCGAGAGATGCTAAATGGGAAAAGGTATTTGCTTGTATTAGATGATGTGTGGGACGAAGATCAAGACAACTGGGATGGGCTAAAGTATTTACTAGCATGTGGATCAAAAGGCGCTGCCATTATCGTTACTACTCGTGTTGCAAAGGTAGCATCAATCATGGGAACTGTTCCAGCACATCACTTGTCATTTTTATCTGATGAAGATTGTTGGTTGTTGTTCAAGCAACGAGCATTTGGACACGGGAATGAAGAGCATCCAAACCTTGTGGCCATTGGGAAGGAGATAGTGAAGAAGTGTGGGGGTGTGCCTTTAGCTGCGAAGGCCCTTGGAGGGCTAATGCGCTTCAAAAATGAGGAAACAGATTGGCATTTTGTTAAAGAAAGTGAAATTTGGAACTTACCCCAAGACAAAAATTCCATCTTGCCTCTCTTAAGATTAAGTTACTATAGCCTTCCATTGGAATTGAGACGGTGTTTTGCTTACTGTGCCATTTTTCTAAAAGGTTCTGAAATTGAAAAGGAAAAACTCATTCATCTTTGGATGGCTAATGGCTTTATTTCATCCAACGGAAAATCGGAGTTAGAAGATATTGGTAATGGTATGTGGAATGAGTTATATTGGAGATCTTTTTTCCAAGACGTGGACAAATATCCATCTGGCAACATTATTTTCAAAATTCATGATCTTATGCACGATCTTGCCCAATCCGTTATGGAAGATGAATGTCATATGATGGAGGCTAAAAGCTCAACGAATATATCAGCGCAAAGAATTCATCATGTTACACTGGTTGCTGACTGTATGCACGCAGTTGTCTTTCCTAAAGCATTATATAGAGTTGAATCCTTACATACAATTCTTCTACAATATAGACGGCCAAACAGTATCGCTTTTGATTTTTTTCCTTCTTCTTGTGACTTCACAAACTTTGGTTCATTACGAGTGTTCGATGCACTTGGCACCAACATGTGGCAGTTGTCATCTTCAATTGGTAAGTTAAAACATCTAACGTACTTGAACCTTTCTACAACTCTCATTAGTACACTACCAAAGTCAATTTGTAGCCTTCACAATTTGCAGACTTTAAACCTGAATGAGTGTTATAAGCTTCAGAGGCTGCCCAAGAACATGAAATCCCTAAGAAGCCTCCGACATCTTTATTTGGAAGGTTGTGACAAAATACAGGACATGCCTCCAAAGCTTGGGCATTTAACTCTCCTGAGGACATTAAGTTTATTTGTTGTGGGTAAGAGTAGAGGTCATCGGGTAGTTGAATTGCAATGCTTAGATCTTGGAGGAGAACTGTGTATCCGTCACCTTGAGAGAGTGAGAAACTCAATGGATGCCAAAGAAGCCAATTTGGTCGGAAAACAGAACCTCCGAATCTTGAAGTTATCATGGGGACATAACAGTGAATCAGAATCACAAGCAAATGTTGAACAACTACTTGAATCCCTGGAACCTCACCCAAATGTTGAAAAGTTGGTCATAGACAATTACAGAGGTGCCTACTTCCCACTTTGGATAAGGGAATCAATTTTTAAAAACATAATTTCTATTGAGCTACGTAGCTGCAGAAACCGTTTAGTACTTCCAGCGTTTGGACAGTTGCCTTCCCTGCGACAGCTTGATATTTCCGAAATGGATTATGTGGAGTACATTGACAATTACTTCCCTGGCGGAGGCCCAGTTAGAGGATTTCCGGCTTTGGAAGAACTCCATATTTCTGAGTTGCCGAATTTGGTAGGGTTGTCAAGGGAGGAAGGAAGAGAGCTACTCCCTTGTCTTCACAAGATAAAAATTGACAATTGCCCAAAATTGACCTTGCCGCGTCTTTCATCACCAAAACTCTTGAATGTTGCGAGTTCCAGCAACGTGGTACTAAGTTCAATCTCAAATCTTAATAATCTCACTACCCTTTCAGTTTATGGCGGGGACATGATTTCTTTTCCAGAAGAGATGTTGCAAAACCTAACTGTTCTTGAATCATTGAGTATCTGGGGTTGTCATGAGATTGAGTCTTTGCCAGATCATGGGTTACGAAGCCTAAAGTCTCTCCAACGTCTGACGATTGACCACTGCTATAAATTGAGTTATTTATCTGAGAGTTTGGGACACCTCACTGCCTTGGAGGAATTGAATGTTAGTGGGTGTCCCAAGCTAGTGACTTTGCCAGACAGCATTAAACATCTTGTTTCTCTTCGACACCTAGACATTTGTGGTCATCCCAGATCCATGTATTCAAATGATCTTGTTATTTGTGCAGAGTTGAAGACTTTGCCCGAAGCATTGAAACATGTCCCTGCACTTCAATCTCTATCTATTTGTGATTATCCAGAGCTCACATCACTGCCTGAATGGTTGGGAGACCTTACGTCACTTCAATCGTTGTACATTAGTGGCAGTCCCACGATTCCATCACTTCCACATGGCTTTCAAAGGCTAACCAACCTCCAAACTTTGAGCATTTATGGATGCTGTCCTGAATTGGTAAGGCGATGTCAAAAGGAAAAGGGGGAGGATTGGTATAAGATAGCACATATTCCAAAAATCAATCTGTAAGTGCTTGTTTATTGTTTATTGTTTATTGGTTTTTTTTTTTTTTTCTTCTTCTCTCTAAAGATTTGTAAATGTTTGAGTTATTCAATCGTTGGACATTAGTCTAGCTGCTTCTTGTTTTTCTTGATTTTGGTATTTGAAAGGTATGCCTCCCTTGATTTTTGTATTCTTTGTTTCTTTTAATGAAATTCTCACATACCAAAAAAATAATATTCATAATAGGATAGGATGACCTTAAACTAATTTTAAGCTTTTAATTAAGTGTAATTAAATGACCGTTCACTTAAGTGTCAATTTTAATAATCCCTAATAAAAATGAAATGCCCAAACAAAAAATTGAATCACCTAATTCAATCCATTCAATTTGATGTCACTCTGCATCACCACTTAGTGCCTTTATGATGATTGTGTTGAAGCTTGATTAACGAGCCCACTAAGAAAAAAAACAATGATATACATATATATATATATATATGAATAAACATGTAAAACACTCTTGCTTCAAGTTTTAAACCTTTCACTAAATATTTGATTCATATTTCTAGAACTCTATGTCATTATGTATAGGGTCCTGCTACGTTTCATGAAAACTGTCATGAAAACCATCTGCACCGTTGGATCATGAGACACATACCTGATCTAACGGTGCAGATGGTTTTCATAACAGTTTTCATGAAAATTCTTCATGACACCTAGCATTTCCCTTATGTATATTATATGATAAAACTATTGGACTGACACTTGGACTAAGATTCTAAAGCTAAAAGTTGCAATCATTCACCATGAAATGCTTATGGATTAGCTACCTCCTATAGTAGAGACTAGAGAAAAATGTGATTAATTTTGAAATGTTCTATATGATACATGATTAGGAGTTCAACTTTCGCTGTCATTTCTTGCTATTGGTGGAACACTCCATGTTAGCTGAACATATTTTAGCTGTCATTGTTGCTGATTATTTGTTTTCATTCTAGTACTTCAAAGATCTGTTGTCAAATAATAGAAAGGCTTGTACTAAATAAATCTTCCAATTTGAAATCCATCAAAACAGAAAGTGACCACTGCCCATTGGCATTGCGTAACCATTGATATGATTGAAGTAACAGAAAGTTGTTGGATATTCATAATAATAGTTAGGGTAAATTACAATGATCTCTCTTAAGATTTGGATGAAATACAATAAGCTCCCTTGACGTTTAGTTTTAAATTATAGTGACCTCCTCTAAGGTTTAATCAAATTGCAGAAACCTCCCCTAAGAATTGTGAAATGATAGAAACCTCCCTTAAGATTTAGTTTTTTATTATAAATTCCCTAATTCCATCTTTTGTTACTTTATCGTTTAAAAAAAAAAAAATTGTTGACAATATCAAGTAAGTTAATTACATTTCTAATTTTACTCTTAAAATTGTGCCTAATTACAAAGAAATAAAAGAACACAAATTTATTTTCTCTTTTTGTTATGCCTGCAATTACTATTGATTGTGTATGCTTCCTTTATCCAAAACCCACATGTTGCCAAGTATATATCCCGCATATCATGATAGGATTATTGTAACCATTTACTTAATCTGTTAATGGTTTGAACGCAAGGAAATCAGAACTAATTCATGAAAAATTCTACAAGTATGTGGTTTAGTTTCACACTGGTGCATCTATTTCAATATCATTGACTACTTCTTTAGCTTTTATAGCTCTCATTGCCTCTCATAGTTTCATCAATAGTGCATAAATACCGATTTTTCAAGAACAACATAGTTACTAAATGGTAACCATGTCATGATCAGCATGTCAAACCTTCAGCTAATTCATATACTAGCAGCACAAATTGATGTAACAAATTATTTGAAGAAGATTAATCATTTGTTTTTTTCAACATGATTATATTTGAACAACATAAACCATTTATTGTCTTGAACCGGAGATATCTGAGATTGTCTATTCAAATGGGTTTTGCTGTAAAATAGCCTTAGAAGCATAAAAGGCCTAAAGATTACTTTGTGCTGATTGTATGAATTTGTGGTTGCCTATGCAGGGATGACATTAACGAGATTGGGCGCATTGAGTCCTCCATGATTCAGCGATTGTATGTTTCTTTCTTTATTTATTTCTGTTCATCTTTATGGATTTGTGCTTTCTTTTTGGTGTTGTTGAAGGTTATTTGGCTTTGTTTTTATGATAGCAGGTGCTGCTAGGCTTTCGGGTCACAATGACAGTAGCATGATAGCTGCAAGTTTTGAAGTGGTTGTAGCATTGGATACATTGCTGGCGGGGAATATATTGGGCTGCTTATTATAGGTCTGAGGTTGGGTAACCGGAGGTGGTTTCATTCAGCTGTTCTGTTCTCAGACTCCCTCTTGTTAATTTCTCTTCTGCGAAATAAAGATTAAATGCAGGTCTTATTGGGCTATGTATAATAATATTAGTGTGCGATGGACACTGGGTGCTCTAGCCTTCTGAGGTTAGAGGGTTAGAGCCTCCTATCATGACCACTATTTTTTTGAGCGATGGTTTGAAGTTCAATTTCTGTTATAATTTTATATTCTTTCACTAGTGTTATGTAGTATGTATTTTGTGTTGATTATGTGAGTTTACTCTTGAATTTTAATTCTGATGAATACCCAGCTAGATGTTATGATGAAGATAGATGATATTAGTACATGGATAAATTGGGAGACTAAACAAATGAAATAGTTAAAAACTAATAATTTTGGTATGAATTTTAGCTCAGCTCCTGTGTTTGCCGAACAAAATTAAAAATGTGCAAACCATTCCATCAGCGGATGAAGTTAAAATGCTATACAAAACTTATCTATTCCGATAATGTAAATAAATAAAGTACTATGAAAAGCATTGCAACGATACAAAAAGGACCTAATCCACACAACCTTGGTTTAATAATCAATTAATTTGAAGAGCCTAAAAACAGACACAATTGATCAATGAAATGAACTGTTTGCAAATTATGATGAAGAAATATTTGCAAACTTGCCATATTTTTCTGAATGATACTTGATAATGAAGGAGATATAAGCTAATTTTAGGAAATTGATCCCTTTTTTGGGATGGACAAAAGACGGTAACTCACTACTATAGCCATTCGAACTTCAGCCTTTTGTATGTCTACATGAATTTATGTGATCATCTTCAATTTAACGATCTGAATATAAATTGCATTGCAGATTTGGTAGATTACTCACATCACATTCATCATCAATTTAATTTTTTAAAATAATTTTTTATAGATATTTTATTGATATTTTATTTTAAAATTTTGTTTATATGTTATTTAATTTCATTATTTAATTATTATTATTTTTTTAAATAAATTTATTTAAAATTTTAATTAAAAAAAATAACATATATTTTTATTGATATTTTATTTATTTAATTTTTAAAAAAATTATTTAATTGTCTAAAAAATAAAATAAATTTTTATTTAATGTAGCTAAAAATAATTAAAATATTGAAGATATGTTTAATATTACTATTACTTAGTAAACAATAGATAAAGGGTAAAATAGTGTTTTGTTCATTTATCCTATGTAATTCGTCCAATCAAACATTGAATTCACTTAAAATAGTCTTTTCCAGATATCTCATGAGAAAACAAACACAGGATACACATCCAAATCCAACCAAATAGTCCCGGAGATTTACAGTCTTAGGATTCAAGTTCGATGGATTCTAATCCCCTATCTAATCCATCCAATCAAACACACCCTTTATGTGTTAGTAATTTTTTTTTTCCTTTCATTTGTATGTAATATCTCTAATTTTTTGATTTTCTATCAAAAAATTTATAAAAATACTATCTCACATAAGTGTAGACCCTACACTTATGTAAATGATAAATTTCTTGATAATTTTGTTGGTATTGCTAATATTTTTCAAAATGATATTACATGATGGCGTTTGGTGCAATTTTACTTGTTTATAGTTTTTTTTTTTTTTTTTTTAAAGTGTATGTCAAATTGTTTGATGTAATTTCGATTATAATTTATTAGATAAAAGTAATTTAAGTAAATTGAAAAAAAAAATATTTTCAAAAGCTAACTGCCCCTGCTTCTAGTTTTTATTTTTGGATTATCAATTAATCCATAATTAGCTGCACCAAATAGTATCGATCATTAGATAAAAAATGATACTTAATTTTAACAACTTAAACCATAAAATTTTTTTATCATTAACAAAAATATCGAATGTATTTCATGAAATTTACTTAAAATATGGATTGACTCTTATGATTTAGAAAATTATAAATATTCCATTGTCGGAATTTTTTATTTAACATAATTAACTGAAAAAATGAAATTCTTAACTGTTCTCTTCTACAATAATAAAATTATTTGAATTATTAATTGAAATGTATTTCTGACATTATTAAAAATTGTTAATTGACTTACTGATTTATTAATAAAAGAGTCCATTTGTTATGAAATTAGAAACCTGAGGGGGTAGAATATAACTTTCAAAATCATAGGGACGATTCGTATTTTAAACAAATTTCAGAAGATGTACTTTTAATTTTCCATTTTAATAATAGATAATAAAAAAAAACATTATTTTTAACTAAAAATAAAACTTATATCAATCCTAAAATTATATTTTACATGTTTTTTAATAAGTTAGATAGATGGAGTTACATAAAATATTCAAAATGGTACATTACAGTAAATCCCTTAAACTATGACTCATTTACATTTTGTTCTCCAATATTTCAAAATTCAACAGTTAACCCCTTCAAAATATTTTCTTATTACAGTTAACTCTTTTGGTTACAATTCTGTTAGGAATTTATAAAAAAATAGGTCATGTGTAAAACACACACATTTATTAAATTTTTAGGATAACAATGTTCTTGTATTGTAGCATCACGGGTCATAAACCCAACTCGCTTATGTTAACTGGTACCTGTTACCTAATACTTGTATTGTTTCCGAACTCATGGTAATAATAGGTTTGCATTTGACTTTCAATTATTCTAATTGAGACATCCTTCTAAATGTTTAGAACCGTGATTGATGTGCTAGCAAGATGACTAAGCAATATTAGACTAAATACTCCAAAATTTAGATATTTATTTTTGAGTAGTTTTTACTCTTTTGTCTTCTTTTTTTTTTTAATTTTTAATTTTTTCTTTTCACACTTTGAATCTTAATATGAAGCTAGAACTATTAGAAAGCTTACTTCCAAGACTTCAATTTAAACACAAAACGACCCAAAATGGAGTTCGGACAAGAGAGTTATGTTTATTCGAAGTTCAGGCACCGAAGATATCAGCATAGTTCACTTGAACACACTTTTGACCACTTAAGAGGTCCATAGATCTAGACAACTCTGATTTTCAAAAATTTAGATCCTGCAAGCACTCATTCACCACTTGAGTACACTTTTCACTGCTCGAGCAGTCTATTTCAAAAAACAAAGATCCTACAAGCAATCATTCCCCACTTAAGCGAACTTTTGATCGCTTAAGCAATCTATTTGTGTAACGTCCCAAATTTCTAGGTTTTCTCACCAAAATCACTAATCTTCATCTATTGAAAGAAAGTCACAAAAAACATCTTTCTTGAATCCTTATAGTTCAAAACCCTCAATTTCTATTTTAAAAGGAACAAGAAAGTAAACCCATTTCAAAAAAAAAAATAAAAAATAAAAAATTCTCTCATCTTCTTGAATCAACAATCAATTTTCAAAACAAATCAAAGGATGATTTCGAAAATTATCTAGATCTTACAAAAACATATATATAACTTAAAAAAAATCTCTACTTATTAAATATTACCATTTCCATCCTACAATGACAAAAGTTATGGTATAATCTTAATAACATATTTTTAACCACATATAACCTTTTAACGAAAACTAATTTAATCCACTAAATTAATAAGTTTATTATATTCAAAAATTTTCAAATTTATAATACTAAACCTAACTTCACATGCCTTATCCCTCAAACATAACTATATTTCAACATAACTATTTTTCATGCCAAGCTATTTAAAGAGGTAATATTTTTACCAAATTCTCTACCAATAACAATTTTTTCTAAAATTACTTGATCAACATGATATTTACATCAAAAATTATGAAATATACCCAATAGTAACATTTTCAAGGTTATGAGTTTGAAAATCCACATTTCACATTTTTATTTTTATAAAAATGAATACAACTTAATCATCAACATATCATCTTTTATAAAATATCATGAATATAACACTTTTAAAGTTTTTAATCTCAAAGCAACTCTATAATTCCTACTTAAACATTTACTCAATATTCCTCAACATTAATTTATTTTTCTCAAAAATAAATTCCAAATCAAAGATAAAAAAAAAAAATCAACTTTATTTTTCTCAAAATAAATCATCGAATCATAATGTGATGTAGAAACAATCCATACAACTATTAAATTTTATTTTCAGATTTCTTTGTAAAATTATCAACACAAAATAATTTTCCCAAAATCAATCTCAAAATGCCAACATTCTTAACGTTTCAATATAATTTTTCTTTCAAAAATTACCAAACAAAAATCTGAATATATATATATATATATATATGCAATATCTCTTATAATGATATATTTTCTCAAAATAACTCTAACATAGTTTTAATATAAAAATACGAAGAAAGTCTCCACCTCAAATAATGAAGAAGAGCAGATCTGGAAGGCAAATCTTGCCCGATCATGAATCCGAGACTACCATTGCGAAGATCATGACGAGCCCTTCAACTTTCATTTACAAAACTTTTACAAAATCTCACTCTAAGGACTTCTACTCAAAACTCAAAGGTTGAGTATCAATTGAGAACAAGGAAAGAGAGAGAGGTACGTCGTATGTCTTCTTTTCCCCACGGGAGAGAGAAAGAGAGAGAGAGAGAACCCGTGTGTATTGATGTATTTTTTTTGCTCCAGGCAATGTTGTCCCTCTCCCCATGTGCCTTCTGTGTGTGTATATATGTCTCTCTTTATAAAAATATATTTTTTCCTCCCATGCTTGAACCCCACTCCAGCACTCACTTCTCTCTTTTGTAAAGAAATATCCTCCGACACCCAGCTGACCATGCATGTTTTCTTTATATTTGTATTCCACCACACAAAAACAAAAAACATCATCACCCTATCTTCCACCACAAAAACCATCATCAGAATATATTCCCTTCCTTTTTTAAAAAAAATACAAAATCGAACTATTTTCACACAGAATTTACATAACAATCAAATTCAAAAATTTGTTCAATTAAATTATGCACTGGCTATTTTACACACACACACATACACAAAAATAAAAAAATAAAAAAATAAATTGGGTCATTACACTGTCCTTGACATCTGCCATCTGTTAGGATTATCCCCTATTGGTACTCCATTTGGCCCAGACTACCTGACCTCAGCATTCTTTTTTCCCTTCCCCCTCTGAACTCATTCTATAGTGGCTTTGTTAAGACTGAGAACAAAAAGGAAGGCCCTACAACTGATAGGGAATTCTTCTCATTTTTATTGTATTGGCTTTGCAAATTTCTCTTTTGTACTTCTTCTAAAAGGATTATGCCTAAGTTTGCCCCTCTTGCCAAAGCCTTTGTTTTGCAT